ACCCCCCATCTCTGCACCATATTTCTCTCATGGGTTAACTAAGGTGATTGGACCTAAACAGTTTTAACTAGGAAGTATGTGGCTCTGGCACCTCCTGTAAGTCCTAACAATCTGGCTGAGGAGAGAAGAGGCCTCAGTTTTTGTCTGATCCTCTAGATCTCCCCCGACTCTACCTCTTTGCTTTTCAATCAGCTTTGGTTTCCCAATGTCCCAAATCCCCTTGCCCACTGACCTCGAAGGTGATCCTGGAATGGCGCCGTACAGCCAGGTCCGCAATGTTGACCCGGTTAAAGATTACGTTTTCCATGCAGCCCCGGAAGTTATGTCGATAGCCAAGGTTCTTGTGTGCAGCACCCACTAGACCCCCAATGAATATCTGCAAGAAGGGGCCCGGGAAGAAGTTCCTTGGGCACAAGGACCCATATGCCTTTCTCTCATGCATCATCCCCCATACCTACGTTTTCCAAGCACAAACCTGACTTTATAAAAGACTTGAAACATACATTTCCCCAGGGTCCGTACTAAAGCTTGTGCTGCCTCCTAAGGCTTGGGTTGAGCCCTAATTCCATCATAAATGGGCTGCAAGCTTCCAATAAGTTTTGTTTGTTGTTGTTGTTGTTTCTGTTTTTGTTTTTTGTTGTGGGGCCTGAACTCTGGGCCTTGGTGCTGTCCCTCAGCTCTTCAGCTCAAGGTTAGCACTCTAGCTACTTCCTGCTTTTTCTGCTTATGTAGTGCTGAGGAATCGAACCCAGGGCCTCATACATGCAAGGCAAGCGCTCTACCACTGAGCCACCTTCCCAGCACAGTAAGTCAATTTTTGATCTGCTTGAGATATGTGTGTGTGTGTGTGTGTGTGTGTGTGTGTGTGGTACTGGGGCTTGAACTCAGAGCCTGGGTGCTGTCCTTGGCTTTTTCCACTCAAGGCTGGGGCTCTACCACTAAAACTACACCTCTACCTCTGGAATTATTATTTATTGGAGAAAAGAGTCTCCTGACTTTCCTGCCTAGGCTAGCTTCCAGATCCTCAGATCTCAGTCTCCTGAGTAGCTAGGATTACAGGAGTGAACCACTGGTGATTCAGGGCAGGGTCTTTATCAATTCCAATTGTGGGAAGATCCAAGGGAACAACTTTTCTACCTTGCCTTTTCCACAAAATCTGAATTTCTAGACCTTACCTCAAAGTTATGAAGTGGACCCAAGACAAAAGTCTCAGGCTTTTCCAATCAGCAGAAAGTTTGAGAAAGAAAACTGTCCTCCACCCATTCTCCCAGCAACACCCAACCAATGGTGCCTCTTCACCTCGGTGTCCAGGTTTAGCCTCTCAAAGTCGCCATTGAGAATGAAGCGATGCACGTAGCCATCCAGGGTGAGATTTGCTTCTCGGCCATATCGGTCCACGCGCACATAGTGCCAGTGCTGGTCGTTCAGGACGCCCCCAGCGCTCACAGTTGTGTGTCCAGGTCTTGGCTGAATGGGGCTGCTGCCTGAGGGTGGAGCAGTTCAAGAATGAGTCCTAGAGCCCCCAGGCAGAGCCGCAGGGTGCAGGTAGCCTGGGAGAGAAGCCTGGAGCCTGGGGTGGAGAGATTGCCAAGGGGCCTCTTGTCCTACCTGTAAAACTCAAGTTGTACCTAATCCTGCAGGTGTGTGTAAAGCTAAGGAGATGCAAATGTGTGTGTGTGTGTGTGTGTGTGTGTGTATGTTTACAGTGAGCCAACCTAAGCCAGGGAGATGCCTGTCCAAGGTCACACAGCTAGTAGATTGCACAGCCAAGGCTGGAATCCAGTCCTTCGGTGTTTGGGCCAGGCCGTAAAAGAATGGGTCGGGCTCGCTGCGCGCGCGCACGCGCACACACCGGGGACAGGGCACTCACCCAGGCTCATGTGCAGCACCAAGTGCGCCCCCTGTAGTTCGAGGGTCACGTAATCGCCCTGGGCGCCCTCCGTGTGTAGCAGCAGCCCGTCCTTCTCCTCCGTCTTGAAGCTGAAAGCGAACACGTCCCACAGGCTTCGGCTGACCCCTCTCGGAAAGCGGTACGAGATGGCATCGTCGCCGTCAAAATAGAGTATGTCGGATTCTGCGCGAAAGACCGGAGGTGAGCCGGGGAGCGGGGACATTGGCAGTCGCCCGGCCTCCCTCCGGACCCTCCCTCCGACTCTCACTGTAAGGGCAGCCGTAGATGCCCAGGCGTAGGCCGGCCTTGCCGCGCGGGTTCCAGGCCAGGGGCACGATGCGGATGTAGCGCGCCGTGAAGTGGTAGTGGAGGTCGTGGCGCACCACGGCGGACTCATTCACGTTCCCGAAGAAGGTCTGTGGGAGTTGGGCAAAGTAGTAACCACATCCCCCACCTTCTGCTCCAGGCCCAGTCCATGGCTTTCCCACTTTGCCAATCTTGACTGGCCGTGGGGGTGGGGACAGACACTCCTTGCTGTCCCCTGTCCAGGGCCTGTACACCCACCATTTCCCTAGCCCTTTTCCCACCAGGCGATGCAGAGCTCAAATCAGATGTCACCGCCCGGAAGCTCTCACAGATTTCCTCCTGAAGTGGAATTATAAACCCTGTGATCTGAAAGTGTCTTGCCCACGTGGTGTGCTGACCAGTCCTTCTGGACTTAATCCCAGGAGTGGAGTCATGGCTCCTCACTTAGGCGTTCACTACTGCCTCCTCCCCTTCTTTTCAGGCTAGTGCCCAACCCAGGGCCCAGAACAGAAGGGGGTCCCCCGTGTGTATGTGCGCCCGAGCAGTGCCCCGAGTACCGCGTTGTGCCCTTGCTGGTAGAACGGCGTCCAGCTGTCCACACGGTCACCGTAGAGCAGCATGTAACGTGTGACCCAGTCCCAAGAATTAAAGGAGCCCTGAGTGGCCACAGCTCGGATTCGGTGCCTCTTCATTAAGTCGATCTGGAGCCAGGGATTCGGGTCCCCAATCCGGGGTGACCATCCACTTATGCCTGTAGAAGAGGCAAGGGTTTTTGTGGTGGCTGTTTGTTTTGCCACCCTCCCCGCAGCCCTCCGGAGTCCTCCACCCCCCCTGTTTTCAGCCTGCTCACCGTGCAAGCGGGCAAAGCGGGCTGTGGTAAAGAGACTGTAGTAGGAGGAAGCACCCAGGGAGCGGGCAAACAGAGGTCCCACAAGCTCCTCGTCGCAGCCATCTAGGGTGAAGAAACGAACTTGTTAGGGTGGCTTGTCCACTTCCAAAGGCCAGGCCCACTGAGAGGCGGCAGCTCTTCTTCTCTGCCCCCCTGTGGCAGACCTTAAAGCCATCCACTGAGCCTGGGCTGCAGCGACAGCTGCTGTCTCTTCCCTCCTGGGGGAAATTCTTAAGCTAGAACTATGGGTCCAATGCCAGACCCATCCTATCCCAGAGCCTACCCAGATTGAGTACTCCCCCAAATACAATCCCCAAACTCAGCGTCTTTCCAAAACACCAATGCAGCCACAGTCTTGGTGTCACTCTCAATCATCATTCTCCTCCCCACGTCTGTACCAATCCCAAATCCAGGTCTTGCTCCCAACCCAGCCACCTCCCAATCCCAGTTCTCACACCATGACCAGCTCCAGCCAGCTTCAGACTCAGTCAGGATCACCAACTCCTGTTTGTAACCTAGCCATAAAACCCAGCCCCAGCCACAAACCCTAGCCCACCGACCAGCTCCAAAGCCTAGTCCCAGCCCCTGACCAAAACCTTAACCCTAGCCTGTTTTACCAGTACCACACCTCTGCCCAACCCTAACCTGACACCCCGACACCCTGCGCCCTCTTGGATTACTACCCCAAATCCTGTCTGGGCTGACCCCATCCTCGGCTTGGAGCCCAGCCCCAGCCCCATTCCCAGGCGCGCGCAGCTGTCTCCGGAGCTGCATTGCGGAGCGCGGGGGAGAGGCAGGAAAAGATGGGAGCGAGCGGCCGCGCGCGCCGGCTGGGAAAGACCGGCGACCACCCAGCCGCAATGCGGTGCGGGACCCGCCCTTCAGGCTCTGGAATCCGGGGCCCAACCCCACCTGCCTCGGACCCCAGCACTCACAGTAGCCCCAGCCCCGAGCTCCTGAGACCGCAGCAGCAAGCAAGACGCAGAAGAGCCCGAGGTGCATCCTGCAGGGCTGACCAGCCCCCGGGAGACTGCCTCCTGGTGCCCGGCTCTGGCTAGCGATCCAGTTCTGGCTCAGGCTGCCAGCTCCCCTCCTGGGGTTCGCAGCTGACCGCTGTCTCTTCTCCTTACCCACTCCTCCTTTTTTCCACCCTCTGCTAACCTTCAATCTCTCTCTCTCTCCCTCTATCTCTCTCTCCTTCCTTCTCTCTCCCCCCCCCCCGGGTCTCTGCTTCCAGCTTGCTTGCTCGCTCTCCTTTCCACCCTCTCTCCTCTCACCTCCCCCCTTCCCCAGCCTCTCTCCTGGCACGCGCGCGTTTTCCCGGAACCCGCGCAAGCGCGTGGCTCAGCCCTGCTGTGACAGTGTGGGAGCTCAGAACCTCCAGCCACTGGGAAATACCCCAGGTAAAGGAGTAACGGAGAGCTGGCAGGGACTGGTGCCTCAAAGTTGGCCCAAAAAAAGAGGCAATAAAAGAGAAGGATCCTGAAAGAAAGACAAAATCAAAGAAAGGGGCGGGGGAGAAAGCGGGATGCTTAAAGATGGAATGAAAAGTAAGTAAGAGAACGTTTTCCTAAAGGCAGATAATGCTACGGTCTTGGTGCTGGGAACTTAACACTGGAAATACCATATTTTCACCTTACTTCACTTTTGCAATGAAAGACCTGAGACTCAGAGAGGTTAAAGAACTTATTCAAGATCGCACAGCTAGCTTGCAACCATGATATCCCAAAAGCCATTATTTTCACACTAGCAGAGTAAAGAAAAAAAATGTTTAGGTAAAGTGGAATGGAAAAATGAGCCAGCAGACCCTAATACCTACCGCCCTCTCAGCCCCTCTCCCCGCCCCTTCCTTCCTGTCTCACTAGTTATTTAATTCTACCCACCCCCGCCCCCTGTGACTATGCTTCAGAAACTCTTGTAGCCAGAGATGGGGACGGAGCCCACAGAGCAGGTGGGAGTGGGGGCAGGGAGGGGGAGAAGGGTTACAGAGAGGGTGTGGACGGGGGAGGGATGGGATTCTCCACCTGGCAACAGGCCTCTGCCATCCTGTGATCTATGCAGAAGCTGGAAGATCTAAGTCCCAACCCCAGAGACCTTCCCTCAGCATGAATGATTCAGGAGAGGTGGGGTGGGAACAGAGAAGGGGAAGGAGACCAAAACCCACACCCTGGAAGTCCAGAGTCCAGGTCTGAGGCAAAATCTGCATCTGACCATCCTTCCAGAAGAGGGCGCTGCAAAGGGAACAGAAGCGTCGTGATTTATGAATAATACAAATGCTTAGTTTATGGAGAGCTAGATACTTCACATCCATTATCTTTCCTTTTTCAAACAATCCACAAGCTTTTCTTAGGTAGGCTGGACAAGACATCTGGTTTGGGCATTGCATATTAGGAAATGGAGGTTGAGAAAGACCAAGTGTCTTGCTCAAGGTCACCCAGGAAAACTGGAAACAGGGATGCAAGAAAAACCAAGGCCTGTTCACCAAGAGCTAGTTAAAGTCTAAAGGGAGTTTAACTTTTTCTAGTGTAGTTATCCTTGGTCTCTCTCTCTCACACACACATACACACACACCTGTGTGGAAGATATTGTGTGGGAAATGGGAGTGTCATGGGAAGATGTTTCATACAGTCTTCCCTCCTCTCATTTTGACCTCCCCAGGTTTCCTGGGGCCCCTACTCTGGGATTGAGGAGGAGGAGGAGGTGTATTCAGCTGAGCCATTGCCCGAGATCTGTTACAAGGCGGATGTCCAGGCCTTCAGTCGTGCTTTCCAACCCAGTGTCTCCCTGACGGTGGCTGCTCTTGGTCTGGCCGGCAATGGGCTGGTCCTGGCCACCCATCTGGCGGCCCGCCGCACTGCTCGCTCGTCCACCTCCGCCCACCTGCTCCAGCTGGCTCTGGCCGACCTCCTCTTAGCCCTGACCCTGCCCTTCGCTGCAGTGGGAGCTCTTCAGGGCTGGAGTCTGGGAAGTGCCACCTGCCGGGCCGTCTCTGGCCTCTACTCGGCCTCCTTCCACGCAGGCTTCCTTTTCCTGGCCTGTATCAGCGCAGATCGCTACGTGGCCATCGCGCGGGCGCTGCCAGCCGGGCGGCGGCCTTCCACGCCAGGCCGTGCGCACTTGGTCTCGGTCATCGTGTGGCTGCTGTCACTGCTCCTGGCGCTCCCTGCGCTTCTCTTCAGTCGGGATGGTCGCCGGGAAGGCCAGCGGCGCTGTCGCCTCGTCTTCCCCGAAGGCCTCACGCAGATGGTGAAGGGGGCAAGCGCGGTGGCGCAGGTGGTGCTGGGCTTCGCGCTGCCCCTGATCGTCATGGCAGTCTGTTACGCGCTCCTGGGCCGCACGCTGCTGGCCGCCAGGGGGCCCGAGCGCCGGCGGGCGCTGCGTGTGGTGGTGGCCCTGGTGGCAGCCTTCGTGGTGCTGCAGCTGCCCTACAGCCTCGCCCTGCTGCTGGATACAGCCGATCTGCTGACTGCCCGCGAGCGGAGCTGCCCTGCCAGCAAGCGCAAGGATCTGGCACTGCTGGTCACCGGCGGCTTGGCGCTGGCGCGCTGCGGCCTCAATCCCGTGCTCTATGCCTTTCTGGGCCTGCGCTTCCGCCAGGACCTGCGCAGGCTGTTAAGGGGTGGGGGCTGCAGCCCAAGGCCTCAGCTTCGCAGCCGCTGTCCCCGCCGGCCCCGCCTCTCTTCCTGCTCCGCTCCCACCGAGACCCACAGTCTCTCCTGGGACAGCTAAGGAGGCTACAGATCCAAAGGGGGGGAGGGGGGGAGGGCTAAGTGGGTAAGGAGAGTCGGTGGGGGGCAAAGAGGTCAGGATCTACCGGGAGGATGACTTCTGTGCTTTGCCATATTAAAGTGATAACAAGGAAATGAGATGCAACCCCAAACAACTGTTACTATTTTTGAATCCCAGACTTGGAAGCAATTTGTAGCAGGGCTGAGACAGTGGGTTACACCCCGCCCCCACCCCGCGGTTGGGTCTGAGTGGGAGGCAGGAGGGGGCCTGCTGAGTCTGCTAAAGCCTTGGGCACTGACACTCCCTCCAATTTCACTCAGTCTCTGCCAAGAGAGGTGAGGTGGGAAAGCTGCCAGGCTAGGAGGGGCGGGGGTTCCTCTCGAAATAGCGTAAGGCAGGGCTTTCTAACAACCAAGGTGCTATCCAGTAATGGCTGCCTTAGCAAGTACCAGGTTCCTGGCCTCCGGTATGTGCAGGACTGTGTGTGCCTGAGCCTCGAGTAGAGGTAGGCGCCACGGTGGGTGTTCTCATTTGGGGTAGGTGTTTGGATTAGATTAGCACTTTACAATTCCTTCCAAAGTTCTGTGATGGAAAGGGGGGAAAATGAGTTTGTCATGGGACTGGTGCATGTTTGTAATCACAGGACTGGGAAAACTGAGGCCCGGGTTCAAGGCCAGCATAGGCTGGTTACATAGCAAGAGGCTGTTTTGGAGAGGAAAAGAGAGAGGAAGAAAGAATGGAAGAGACAGAGAAAGGAAAGGGAGAGAGGAAAGAAAGGAAGGAAGGAAAGGAAAGAAGACAAGAAAGGTTTTTCACCTGTGTGGGGAGCAAGGAGGGAATTGTATTTGCAGACTTCTAAAAAGGAGCTATCCTAGGCACGGGTAGGAATGCTTGGTCTTCTCTATCTCCCCTGGGGGGCCACCAGGTCATGAGGAAATGCACTGAGCTGCCCAGGAAAGAGGGAAGAGGTTAGACATTGGAAAGAACTACTTTGAAAGCTTAAGGCTTTCCTAGGAAATCTTAGTGCAGGCCACTTTCATCTGGGGCGAAGGCCGGATGGCCTCTAGAGATGGTGGCATTGATGGGTCAAGCAGGATGGTGTTCACGTGCGATAATTCTTGAAGTTTAACATCCGGTCAGCAAAGCTGTACCCACGGCCCCAGCCCGAAGTCTTGAGGGAGAAAAGGGCGGGGCCGAGAGAGGAGGTCTCCAGGGAGGTGCTGGCCCTAAGTCCCCGCCCCGTCCTGCCCCGCCCAGATGGGCTAGCAGTCCTTCCAAGAACCTCAGACGGCGGAGACAGAAAGCCTCGGCCTCTAAGGCCCACGATCCAGGAGAGGCTCAGAAAGAGCTTCGATTCTCACAAGGGGTGCCGCACGCCAGCCCTCGGGGAGGGGGGTTAACCTGGAACCCTCCACCGGTGACCGCGGGAATCGCCGCTGAGTCAGCAACGCGCGCGCCCGAGCCCGCTGTCTCCGGCTGTCGCCCCAGCCCCGCCCTGGACGCCCCGTGCCCCGTTTAACCCCTTCCTGTTCGTTACAGAATTCCTGAGGATACCAAGCCAGTCTCCCTAGTGGAGCCCAGGAAGCTGTGAGCTCTAGATGGGATCTAATTTCCATCCTAGGGAGTCCCTGCCACGGCTTCTTCACTTCACAGATACGGTGACTCACATCTAGGAACTGGAGTCCCTTCGTTCCAAAGCCTTCCGTAGAGCTGGGTCACGGGCGCAGGTCTTAGTTTCTCCCCGCCCCCAGTAACTGAGGCTCATCCCATCCCCAGGGACCCCTCCCCCCAAAGCTGGACAGGAGATCCGAGGGCAGCAAGCGAGCCTCCCTCCAGCCCAGTGCCATTTGCTGCCCCGAACTCCTTCTCAAGAGCGTTTTACAGTCGGTGAGCCAAGAGTTAAAACAGGGCACGGAAGGCGGGCTTCCGTGACGTCGCTGGCACCTCGCGTCCGACCTCGGGCTGGGGGCGTGGTTAGCGTCGCCCCGCCCCCTCCCTCTAGCTCTCCCCCGCCCCTCCTCGCTGTCACCCAGCCAGGAGCACGTGATGCAACCCGCCGCGGCTTCCTGCTTCTGATTGGTGGCCGCGCCCGGCGCCCGGCATAGGGATTGGGAGATGGAGGTTGTGACGAAACGTGGATCCTGCCTTGTAAAGAAGGGAGAGAAAGAAGAGGGAAGGGAGGGGGGGTGCCTCGCAGGGGGAGGGGGGGGGGCGGGGTCCAGGAGCTGAGCTCGCGGCCCCAGCGCGCCAGTCCCGGGGCTGCAGGGAGCGCAGCGCGCGCCGCCCGGGCCCCGGCCACCGGACGCCCTACCGGACACGACCCTCCCTGGAGCTTGGACAACTGCCCACCTCGGACACTGCACCGGACACTGCCCCCCACGGGGCTGGACACTACAACGGACACTACTTCCCCGCTCCGGACATTGCTCTCGGCCAACTCCCCCCCCCATACGCTTTTTCCCCCATCCCCCTTCGCGGACCCAGACAGTGAGCCCCTCGCAGGCGCTCGCTCGCGTCCTCCGAGCACTTCAGCGCTGGACATTGCCTCCCCCCTGTTCCCCTTTCCCTTCTCCTCCCACCTCCACCCCCCCATTTCCCCCGCACTGGTCTGAGCCCCGCCGGTTTCTCCGATCCCCTGCTGTTTGGCCCGGGGCGGGGGGGGTGGTTGCCCGCGCCCCCGTCCCCCGGCTGCGGGTCCGGATGCCTCTCCCCGGGGGACTGTGGTGGCTCCTCTGCTGCCGTCGAGGCTTCACTCTTCTGCACCGGGACTACGGGGACGGCGAGCTTAGCGGGGACGGGGACGAAGACGAGGACGAGGAGACCTTTGAGCTACGGACCCCGAGTCCAGCGGGCGGCGGGAGGGTAAGTCTTGGGGGGATCTGGAGCCTTGGCTCAGCCCCTCTCACTGCGAACGGCCGTCACACACCGATCCGGCTCGACTCCTGCCAAAATCCGCGCTCTTGGCGAACGGGGGAATGTCGCGGGGAGACTCCAGCCGGGAGGCCAGAGCCCCTGGGAGCTCTAGGAACAGCCCTACCCGGGATGTGCCTCTGGGCCTCGCGCCGCACACTGGGCGCTGTCCACCTGCTGGGAGCCCTGAGGCAGAGGAGGCGTCACGCGTGGCCCGACCTGGCCCTGCCTCTCCCTTCCCCGCCGGGCCCGCGTCCCATCCCGTCTCCTTCCGCCTCCGCCAGCGCCAAGGAATGTGGCGAGGCCGGCTGGGCGGCTCGAACGCCTGGGTCCACTCGGCTCCCAGTTCGTGAGTTCTGGGGGACAGATGCGGGAGCTGCCACCGCGGGGATCTGGGCGAGGGGGAAAAGGCATCGGAGCTTTGGGATCCGAGGCGGGGACCCCACGGAGAGGGAGCCTGGGGCTATGGTTCTTTGAAGACTTCTGCTTATCCCGCCAGTCAGAACCGAACGCTCAGCCTTCCCTGGTGAGGCTTCTGGAAAACCCTGGGGGCGGGGGGTTCGTGAGGATCACTTGGCATTGGGCTTTTGTCAGATCTCCCTGTGGGGAAACCGAGGCATGGTTGGTTATAGAAGCACCTCGAGTCCCTGATGCGACTTCTCATACCCGGGCAACTAGACCCCGTGTGCTGTGACCTGGGTCTGGTCCCCATCCCCCCCGTTTAGGGGTCCCCAGCAGGCTCGGTGGCTCAGTGCCCGGGTGGGGCAGGCTGCTCTGCCGGGCCGGCGCCAGCACCTGGCGAGGCAGAGGGCAGATAAATATAGAGAGAAGGAGGAGGGAAGCCGAGGACTGCGACTAGGGGGGTCGGCCTGAGAGTGGGGCAGTACCCCCTCCCCCGTGGAGGTGTGGCGGATGGATTGCGCTGCTCCCAAAGAAAGTGCTTGGACCTAGGCTGTTCCCTAGCATCCAGCCTGGGCAGGGTCGGTTCTGTCAACCACGCCATTACCACCCTCAGACGCTCCACCTCCACCACCACCCCTCCCCGGAGCTCCCAGGGACAGGTGTCCCTGCTCCCCCTGCTCCCTCCCCAATCCTGGCTCAAGCAGTCTGGGCACATTGGGACCATGGCACAATTCCTGCCTGGCTTGGCTTTAGGTTGGATTTAAGGTCTCTCTCTCTCAAACCCCAGGCTACTACAGTTGGAGGTTCCAGGGCAGGGACTGTGGGTGAGAAACAGGCAAAATTCCTACCTACACCTGCTCACACCTGACTCTCAGAGGTATCTCTGAGGGGACATATAAAGCTCTTGGAGAAAGCCCTATACTAAAAAGGTCCTTCTTCCCTTCATTTACCATCTGCCCTCCCCCAGCCAGAAAGGTGGAGTAGGTGAAGAAAAAATGAGGAGGGAGTGGTTTCCAGGCTACTGCAACAAGAAGGGACTTTGTCACCTCTTCTGTTCCAAAGATGGGGAAACTAAGGCCCAAAGATGGGAGTTGGGCCAGGTTCCGCAGTGAGTTAGTGGTACAGCTCTACTGAGTCCCGGCCCCATGCTCTTTCTAGCCCATCCCACCCCTGATGACATCTTCAAAGGGGAATGGAGACCAAGCAGCAGCTTTGACTTGTTAACTCGAGGCTTTTTTAAAGAGTGGTTCCTTTGCCCAGTCACTACGCCACTCCTTCCATCTCCTGAGCAGCACTGTCTGAGGTGCAGAGGCCACAGGCATTGCTCAGGGAGGACTTCTGCTGATCATTTCTTGCCTGTCTCTCCAGGGTCCCCTGGACGTGACACTAACTCAGCCAGTGAGGAGCGGACAGATCTCAGACAGGTAAGCCTCGCCTTGGCCATACTCTTCTGTAGTTTTGAGACCCCAGCAGGTTCCCAGGACGTCCATCCTCGCCATTTTCCCTAGTGGGTTGTGCAATAAAAGGGAGAGGCCCTATGCTGCCTGCCGGACGCTGCGGTTTTGGCAGGGGTCCCAGGGGGGCGGTCCAGCCGGGGGCGTGGGGAGGAAGGAGGGGTCCAAGGCTATTTCTGGTGCAAGGTCAGAACGGCCCTGTGGTTCCCACAGCTGGAGGATGGGTGCCCAGCTTGGGAGCAGGCACCCCTGGCTATCAGGGGAGCCCCTACTGAAAGAAGCCCCCTGGAGGCTGAGCAGAGGCTCAGCAGCCTTGCCCAACTCTCTTTCTCTGGTCCAGGCTGCAGAGCTGGGAAGAAACCTGGAGTCTCATCCCAGAAAAGGGGTTGCCAGAGGATGACCCCGACGTGGTTGTGAAAGGTGGGGACTGCCCTCAACGTGTCCCAGGGGGCTGGCAGTCTTAGCCCCCACCCCCCCAAGATCCTCCAGTAGATGCTCCTTCTTTTCCTTTCCTCCCAGGTTGGCTGTACCGGGAACCCCGTGGAGGAGGGGCTCGGCCATGGTTACCCCCTCGCCGAGCCTGGTTTGTGCTCACCCGAGACTCCCTGGACCAGTTTAGCAGCAGCGGGAAGGGAGCAAGGCACCTTGGGAGTCTCGTGCTCACCAGCCTGTGCTCAGTGACTGGCCCTGAGCGTAGGCCCAAGGAAACCGGTGAGATCTCTTGGGAACTGCCCTACCTTGCTGGCAGGGGTCCTAACTAGCACTGATTGCCCTGAGGGTGGGTCTTCTCTTTCCACCAGGTCTGTGGTCAGTGACTGTGTCTGGCCGGAAACACAGCATCCGCCTCTGCTCCCCACGCCAGGCAGAGGCAGAGCGCTGGGGGGTGGCACTGCGTGAAGTAATTGCCTCTAAGGCCCCACTAGAGACCCCTACCCAGCTACTGCTCAGGGACATACAGGTGAGAGAGAGGGGAATCCAGTGAGACCTAAGAGATGGTCGGCCCAAAGGCTCTCTGAGCTCTTGAAGAGCTCTCTTTCCCCCATCAAGGTGACTCTCTTCCTGGCCTCTAGGAGAGTTGTGGGGATCCAGAAGCAGTGGCCCTCATCTACCTGAGGAACCCTATTCTGAGGCATACCAGTGGAGCCTTGTATGCCCCCCTCCTGCCTCTGCCCTACGAGGTCAGCGCCCCAGGTAAGTGGTCTACTGGCCCAAATTCACTGAATGGGATGGGGTGGACCAGAGGTAAGGGTCTGAATTACTTAACTGGCAGGGAATTAAGAGTCTTTAAGGGCTCTTGAAGGTGAAACTTGGGGCTGGTCAAGGTGCAGGGAAAGGAGATTAGCACAGAAAAGAAAGGGCCCATTGTGACCACTTTCTCCAAGGGTCTCATTCTGACCACTGATGTTCCTCCTGGGGGTGTTTATACTGTCTTCTCTTTTTTCTTTTTTTTTGCTTTTCCTGACTGCATTTTTAAAAATTTCTTTTTACATATTTATTAGCATCACTTAGTTGTATAAGGAGAGTTACAGTTTGTCAAGTCCATAGGTACATACAATGCACCTTGGTTAGATCCCCTCCCTACACTACTCTCCTTCCTCCCCCATCCACTACTCACTTAAGACCTTGTCGTTTTACCTTTACAACTGGGAAAGCCATCACTTGGGGGAAAACGTGCTGGTCTTCACCAGCTACCTAGCTCAATATACTGTCGTGACCAGCTCAAGTATTATGGGTTTAAAAGAGGGCTAGAAAGAACCCTGGTTATCCAATGCCCAGACTAGCCCGTTTTTTTGGCCCACATTGATGGCTCCCAGTACCCAGTTACAGAATCTGGAATTTGAACCTAAGTCCCTTAGTCATTCCCTCTACCTTACTAACTCAAAGTCCAGGCTTAGCAGGATAGGGAGAGGGTGCTCTTGCTTGGAAGGCAACGGTTGAGTTTGGTTCTGTGGGACCATTGCTTTCCCTCCGTTCTTCCTGTCCTTCATACCTTCCTTTCCTTGCCATCCCTTGTCCCCTTATTCCCTTCTGACCTTCTCCTGGTTCTTGCATTCCTCCCAGGGCGCAGCTCTGTGTCCCCTCTCCAAACCGTCCCTCCTCCCCCACCCTCCGGCAGGTCCAGGTTATGCATCCCTGCGGGAGGAGGCTGTGCGGCTGTTCCTGGCACTGCAGGCACTGGAGGGGGCACGACGCCCTGGGCCCCTGATGCAGGGTGTGCTCCAAACCTGCCGGGACCTGCCTGCACTTCGGGATGAACTCTTCCTGCAGCTGGCTAAGCAGACCTCAGGCCCTGCAGGTCCTCCTGGGCTCCCTGCTACCCAAGATCCTGCAACCCTGCGGTACTGGCAGCTTCTCACTTGTATGAGCTGCACTTTCAGACCTGGAGGAGCCGTAAGAGGCCATCTCCTGGGACATTTGGAGAGGTGAGAGGGGAGAGGCAGGTATAAGACTACAGCACAAAAAGAGATGGGAGAGAAGTGCAGGCTTTTGTAAAGAGTTTAGCAAATGGTGAAATCTAGGTCCAGAGAAGAAAAAGGACATGCCCAAGATCAGAACTGGTGTGAATGTATGCTGTGCCACTGTGGGAATGACAAGGTTATATGCCATGTATGAGCAGATGAAGTACAATGAGGTGCTCCTTTAGAGCAGAGGAGATACTAAAAGGTTGTTTGGTTCTGGGTGATGCAGACCAGCTTCAGGACTGGAGAGTGTGATAAAGTGGCTCCACTTCCGTTTTCAGTGAGGAGGAAGATCACTGGAGTGTTGGAAGTGGGTGAGGCAGTTGGGAGAGAACTTCTAGAAACCCGGGAAAGTAATTCAGCTCCATTGAAAGCTCAAGGAGCTTGAGTTGGAGGGGAGGAAACCAGATGAAATAAAATTTTTTTTTGTGATGCTGGGAAATGGAACGTAAGGCATTATGCATGCTAATAAGCAAGCTCTGGCCAGAAGAAATAAACTATAATGCAAGACGGTGAGAGGAAGAGGAAAAGGAAGGAAAAGGAAGCCTTAAGCCCTGATCCTTGGATTCCTAACTCAGGACTGAGCAGGCTCTCCCAGACTCAGAACTGGCGGAATATGCGCGCTTCATCCGGAAAGCGCTGAGCCGGACCAGAGGCCGAGAGCTGGTGCCATCGCTGGCAGAGATTTCCGCACTGAGCCGACGGCAGGAACTGTTGTGCACGGTGCACTGCCCCGGGGCTGGCGCCTGCCCCGTGACCATCAATTCTCACACCACGGTCGGGGAGGTGAGACCAGAGAAAGGCTCCCTCCTCCCCCATCCACCCTTCCAACTACTCACGAAGTTTGTCCCTAGTCTCAGAATCCTTATTTCAGTAAGGGAGGGAATGGTAGTGATAGGACTAAGAGCCCCTAGGGACTGGGTCAGCCCTTCCCAGTCAGACTTGTGGGCGGTCTGACTTTCCGCATCCCCTTCCCCTTTGCTCTAGGTGGCTCAAGAACTAGTGGGGCGGCTGGGTTTGGCCCGGAGTCGAAATGCATTCGCGTTGTATGAGCAGCGAGGAGCCCAGGAACGAGCCCTGGCTGGGGGAACCCTCGTGGCCGACGTTCTCACCAGGTTTGAGAAGTAAATGTCCAGCCCCAGCCCATCTACGTCTCAGCTTCCATCGCTAACCTTTACCCAGCGCAAGCCACTGGTCACTGACCTGCCGACCGACGCCCTCCCCACCTGCGGGTGGCGTGTGGTTGGACCGCGGGGTCGCAGGTCGGCAAACGCTCCGCCGGCCCCGCCCCCGAGCGCGTGGCCACGCCCGCCGCGGCCACGCCCCTCTGGCCACGCCCCTTCCCCACGCTGCGGGAGCCCGGGGGGAACTGGGGCTGCCCTCGCAGCGGGTCTTCTCCTCTTCCACAGTTCGGCCTCCGAGGAGATCGGAGTGGAAGACTCCCCCGACTCGGGGTGGAGACTGTGCCTACGTCTCCACGGACCTCTTCACCCCGAAGGGCTGTCCCCAGATAGCCACGAATTGCCTTTCCTCTTTGAGCAGGTGAGGGACCTCCCACCCCCGGGTCCCCACCCCGAACCTCCCCGACAAGCGGAAACCCGCCTTCCCGCGGCCACCTCGTTTTGTTTTGCGTTGTTTTGCATCAGTTTTGGTTGCCCCGACCTCCAGCGTCCTCCGATCCCCACCACCCCGACGCCGCTCGGGGCTGACGCGAGGTGTCTCCCCTGCAGGCCCACGCTCTGCTGCTGCGCGGCCGGCCACCCCCGCCCGACGACACGCTGAGCGCCCTGGCGGCGCTGCGCCTGCAGAGCTTGCACCGGGACTTCTCCCCGCGGGCGCCCCTGCC